TTTCTAGTTTCTTATTCTTTATGGCTGAGCAGTACTCCATTTTATAGAAAAAGTACATCTTCTTTATCCAATCTCCAACTGATGGGCATTTGGGTAGTTTCCAAGTATTAGCTATTACAAACTGTGCCTCTATATACATGGGTGCACATACATCACTGTGGTATGATTCTTTTAATTCTTTGGGAAAGATACCTAGCAGAAAGATAGCTGGGTCAAATGGGACCTATAATCCTAGTTCTTTGAGGTATCTTCATATTGATTTTCACAGTGGTTGCACCAGCCTGCACTCCCACCAACAATGAAAAAGGGTTCCTTTCTCCCCACAGCCCTGCCAGCATTTTTTATTGGTTGTTTTCTTGATAGTAGTCATTCATTCTGGGGTGAGTTGGAATCTCAGTGTTGTTTTCATCTGTATCTCTTGAGTGACCAGGGATGTTGAACATTTTTTCATATATTTATTTGCTGCTTTTACTTGTTTGCCTGAGAAGTGTCTGTTCATTTCAGGTGCCCATTTTAAAACGTGGTCTTAGTATTTGGGGGGGGTGATTTTTTTGAGTTCTTTATATATTCTAGATAGTAGTCCTTTGTCTGAAAAGTACATAGCAAAAATTTTTCCCACATTTTACATTGTCTCTTAGCTTTGTTGGCAGTTTCTCTTGCACTGAAAAAACTTTTTTAATAAAATGAGATCCAGTTGTTGATCTTTGTACAAGTTCTCCTCTGCCGAGATGTTCATAAAGTCATTTCCTATGCCAGTGTCTTTGAGAGTTCTACCTAATTTAATTTCCAGTAAGTTTAGTGTTTCTGTGTATATAATATATTACTTTGATGTTCTCTAATATTTTGGGAGGAATCTATCCTGTTTTGTACTCACTGAGAGTTAACTTTAGTTTCAAATATACTTCAACCAAGAGATGGCCAGTGTTGATGTCCTTTCTGCCTTTTCCTGTGAAGATAACAACTGTATCAGAAAAATTTCGCAGTGAGTCTGGACATGATCTCAACAAAGCTCACAGGCAGTCATTACCCGTTAGCAACTTTTAGGACTTAACAGGGAATGAACTTGCCATACTTGACTGATTGAGCAAATGATTCCCCAAAGAGATTGCACATTGGAAATAGCAGAGGAGCTCATAGTTGTACCCTGTGGCAGTTGAAAAAGCAAGCATCTGTGTTTCATGAGGATTTGGGATGATTTCAGCACACAACAAAGTTTAACAACTGCTATCCTTAGATTAAGCACAAATTTAATTTGTGCTTAAACTCAGAGACTCATTGAAATGCAATCTCTTACCCCCCTTTCTCAATCTCCTGTTCCCTCTTCATTTTCCTTCCTTGATCTATCCCCTTCTTTCTTCCAATGATTACATATCTTTTAACTTGAAAGTAAGTTTTGAAACTGGAATCTAGTTTTATAACCATGTTTACAAGAATTAATTTGAATATCTCTCAATTCTAAATGGTGCTTGTAGCCAAATCTTTTATATAATTATCTTCACACTTTGAAATTTGCAAAATTTTGCTCTCTCACAGGCATTACATTTATAGATGCAACAAGTGTTTTGTAAGAAATTCATGTGAATTTATATGATACCTTTGAGAGGTATGATTTATATGATACCTCTTCTGTTGCCTTCATACCCAAAACATGGCTAGGTACAAAATTTTTAGATGAGAATTGTTTCTCTTAAAAATTCTATGGACATCAGTGCAGTGTTTTTGTAATATCAAGTTGCAGAAAAGATATTTGAGGCCACTTTTATGAATACTGCCTTATATTTATATGTATTTTTCCCAAAGGGGCACACAAAGTTCTCTCATCATTCTTTCAACTCCCAAAGTTGGTTGGGATGTGCCTCCATTTGAGTCTTTTAAAAATCCATTTTGCTTGTGTAGGGTGTGTTCACTCAGCCTGCAACTACAGATCTTTTCTCAGCCCAGGGTGGTTATTTTCTTCTTACCTTTGGGGTTTTTTTTAATCTCCATTTTCTGATGATCTCCCTTTTGAGGACAAGATCTGTATTAATTCTCCATGGTATACCTTTTCTGTATATCCTGTGTCTATTATTTAAATCTCTCCAAGCTTGTGCCTGAAATCCAGGAAGGCTTTTCAAATTCACGCTGCATACCACTGATTCAAAGTCTCACAGTAACATTTAGATTTGTGCCACTACGTGTCTGAATTTAATTTTGTCATTGCATTTTTCCCAAAAACTCTTACATATTTTTATTGCTTTGTTTCTTGATCTTGTTTCACATATACAAATCCTTTAGATTTTGGAAGATATTAATTAGTTCACTCTTTAATCTTTTCTTTTCTGTGTACCTTGCCCTTTTTCCTAATTTTATTCTCTTGTTCTCTCTCTCTCTCTCTGTCTTTCTCTCTCTGTCTCTCTCTCTCTCTCTTTCACAACACCCACCTATTTTGGCTTTATGGAAAATACTGCTTTTTAAATTTATGTTTAAGAATGGGGGCTAAAAGGCTAACTTGGAGTGCCAAATGCCTGGATATAGCCCATTCTCTGTGAATCACTTTCAATTCTCAATATTTCGGGGTTTCCGACCATGACATGATCATGTCTTTCTTGAAGAAGTCTCTCTTTTCTGAAAAACAGAGCCTTGGATTCTATGAACCAGTGCAGAAGAAACTCCAAATCAGCAAGTAAAATGCAAACTTGTGCTTCATGTTCCTGCTTTTGACACAGAGCCTCATTGCTGTCCCCAGGCCTACAGATTCCCTTTCTCACCCTGTGTGCAGCAGACACTTCCAGACCTTCTGGAGAGAAGACACCACACCCAGTGGTGATTAGAGAAGGGCAGTGAGAGGCAGTGCTCTTTACCTTGCCCCCTGCATTTCTAGAAATTTTAGTGTTGCTAATTCCTGAATCTTATAGTGCATAAGTTGAGTTGGTTCTTAGCTTCCCTCACCTACAGTCTAAGATTTGGTTTTCTCAGTCTGTGAAGTTATTTTCCATACATCCATCTATTTTCTAGCTTCAAAAATTTGTCACTATTTTCTCTTCTTCCATTTTCTCTAACCATGTAGTCTTCTATATTAAAAAATAAACCAAAAACTTCACTGTAGTTTTGGGAAAAAACAAAGTTAGACATGCCCTTCTACCTCCAACTATCTTTTAGTGACACTGGAGTTGAACCTAGGGCCTCTGTACTGACTTTTACTGAGCTACATCACCAGTCCTTTTTTGTTATATTGAGACAGGACAGGCTTGAACTTGCAATCCTCCTGCCTTGGCCTGCTAGAGTGCTGTTTCTTTAAGGCTCCATTTTTACCAGGGAATCCCATTAACTTTTCATTGGGATTCCTCTTAATTTCAACTTTTCAGATGTTTTTATTTCCCTTTCAACTTCTGAATTTTAATCTTAGCTTTGACTCTCAGCTTTTTTTCTCCCTAAGCCTCTGATTTACAGTGGCTTGTCTCTTCGCATTCTTAAAGACGTTCCTGAAGGTTTTCTGATATTATCTTTTGAATCTTGATATAGGTAATTTTCTGAGATGAGCTCCTTTGAGTCAAATGTTTCTGTTTTTTTTTTTTTTTTTTTTTTTTTTTTTTTTTTTTTTTTCATATCTCACTTGGCTCATTGCCTAGTTGTATGATGGTTGAACTCCCTGGCAAGATTTTGTTATGGTTTAGATCTAAACACCTCTCCAAATCTATTGTGTTCAAAGGAAACATTTTTGGAAGGTGGTTGGATCATGAGGGCACTGTACTCATTAGTATACTAACCTATTGATGAGTTCATAGCTGAAGGCAGAATTAAGAGGAGGGGCCTGGTTGAAAGAGGTGTATCACTAGAGGTATAACCTAGAAAGGCGTATTCTTCTCCATAGCTCCACTCTTCTCTCTCTGCTTCTTGGCTTCTATGGGTTGAGTAATTTTCTTCCACTATGTCCTTCTACTATGCCATTACTACTTTGTAGTGGATATACTGAATCCTCTGAAACCATGAGCCAAAATCAACTTCTCCTTTAAGTTGCAGGCATAAGATATATTATCCCAGTGACAGAAAAGTGTCTGATATAGGTGTCAAGCTGGAGGGAAGTTGACAAGAACAGTTCTAATCTTTTTTTCTCTAATCTTTCTAATCTAAGCTTCTTGATATTTTTTGAGCTCTTTCTACTTCTACATCTCAGCCACTTATTTCACAAATGAAGTTGTTTGCAATAGGTTTTATTTGTTACCTGAGTATGGAAGGATGAGGTAGGGAGGGAGGCCAGAGCCCACATGCCTCTTCTTATTTCACAGAATAACACCACATTGTAAAGGTGGAACAGATGCCTGTCTTTTCTAACTGGGCCATGGAAAACAACTTTTTTTTAAGAGTCTCATTATGAGATTTGAGGTGATATTTCTTATCTAGCTTTACTTTCTTGTAATTTACATCAAAAAATTTTTTTTTCAGATTCTGGCATGAATTTTATTGCCCATTCCTAGGTTGGAGTCAGAAATTTGAGTTTGGATTCAAATTTTGATTTCACAAAAGTTTTGCTCTACTTTTCAACTAGTATATGGTCTTGCTCTAGACATTCATCTGATGGTTAAGCTTAACTGTCAACTTGGTTGGCTTGGGAGCCACCTAGGCTATTAAAGCCCAATTCTGGATGTTCCTGGGTGGGTTATGGAAGTGTGGCCATGTGGTCTATATCTCATCCCTGGCCCCTACCTGTCTGATGCTCTTTCTCTTCTCTCCTTCTTGGTCACCATGGGTTGAGTAGCTTTGGTCCACTATACCTTTCCACCATGATGTCCCTGCCTCAGAGCCAGTTGTTCATGAACTGAGACCTCTAAAACCATGATACAAATAAATCTCCTTTCCTTCAAGTGAGTATGTGGGATAGTTTGTCCCAGTGTTAGAAAGCTTACCAACAAATATTCCTCTCAAGAAATGTAAAAAAAAAATCCTACAAAGGACAAGATATGTAATTTCTTCCCCAACATTTCTCTTTATTAGGAAGCAAAAACACAAACAGAAAGCCTTACCTACGAGCTTCTCAGTTTCCTTCTCTGCACTCTCCATTGGCCACGAAGAGGTCACACATTGAAGGGTGTCTGCAACAGCTGGGGTCTTGCATGCTCAGCTCCTAGTGTGTGTACCTGTGGTGGTGAAGGGTGTTTGGAGTAGAGAAGGTGACAGGGGTGGCTGTTACATAAGCAATTGAGTCCTTGCTACCAACCTATGACAAATCAAAATCTTTATATGACGAAGTTCAGTATTATTTCCATTCCTGGTATACCCCTACTTTTCCTGAATATGATCAATATAGACATTGTTAATCACAGAAAAAAATAAATTCTGTTTCTGGTTTTGTCCAGCCATCCGGGAAGTCTTAAGACAAACTTATGCACCCTCTTGGTAAGCTTTCTTTCTCATGGTCTATTTTTCTAAGCTTATTTCACTTCCAGATTCATGTGATCTTCCCTACACTTAATTTTCCAGAAATCCCTCTCACATAATCCTATTTGTTTCATTTTGACCTATTGCATATATATTTTTGCAAGGATATTACGTCTTAAATCCTTTTGGGATGAGGTCAAGTCTAAAACACAATTAGTTAACTATTGATGTTTTTATAACCTGGCATTAAATTATACTTGAGAATTGGGACTATCTTTTGCTGATCTTTATGTATCCTATGTTTCCTTGTATGTAGTAGCACCCAATAAATGTTTGTGGAATTGAATTGAATCCTCCCCAGTGTTATTTGACTCCAGCAATCCTCTAAATGTGGCCTTCTTATATTTTTTAAGGGAACTTAGGATTACAGGTATCAAGTAGTTGATCTTCTATGCACGGACAGATAGCTGGAAACCAGATCCTCTCCATGTGGTTCAAAGTGTGCGTTCCTGGGCTAGCCTGAGATTATTATATCAAACAAATGCTTAGCAGTATTGATATGATTTGACTAAATAGCAGCTCAACCAAGCCAGCATACAGCTGCCAGAGTCACACTGGGCTACAGCAGCTGGAGACAGATGCAGGAAACTAGAAATTACTCAGTTGCTGCCCCTCCAAATGATGTTTGACATGCTATTTATCTTCTCTGACTGAAACGCTCTCTTTCCAAAGAAATGGGAGTGGGTGATAGCTTGGGGGTTGTTTACCTTCTACTGAACAAACAAGTTTGATTTAGGAATTAGAATCAGTGAGTCTAAAATGATGAACATGCTTACCCTGGCATTACTTAGAAAATGGGAAAAATAAATTAGATTACTACTTGGAAGGACTCATTGGTTTGGAGAACAGCAGTGGCTTAATTGCAGGTCTTAAGCAGCACAGCCTCCAATTTTCCTCAATACAAGCTGGGACTTTCCTCAGGGCAATAGGCAGAAAGTAAGTCCTCCTGAGGCTGCTGTGATTTGTAGCAAATCAGGAGAGACAGAGAGCAGGACAGGACATGCAATGCACACTCTGATGACAGGGTGATGTCATGTTTTCATGAGCCCAGGGATTATTATTACCTGGCACCCTGTTGAACACATTTACTGTCTTTTTGTTCCATGGGACATGTTAAGAGCAGTGTAGTGAGAGCGCTTGTGAAGTGAAAGAAAGGATTTTCATTTCTCAGGCAGAGTAAACAGGAATCTTTACCCCATCAACGGCAATCCTTGATGTGGTGTATCATCTGCAATAACATAACAACATAATGCAGTTGCTTGAAATTCTAATTAAAATGAGGTACTTGTCTCCTGCCTTAGCCAAATGAAATTATGGAACAAGACTTATATGTTGCAAGGACTCATTTCAACAGCACGACTTGCCTGTGAAATCAAAGTCCCTAAGCAAATTAAGTCAGTTTTCAAAATTATAGGACTTGGAGTGACTGTTGGTCCCTGCATCCACTAAAATCATGTGTGTGGGGGGATGTGTAGATGCATGATTTGGGGGGACATGCATAGTGGAAAGCTAAACCCCTGAATAACATACAGTAGTAAGAGAACATCTGTTAATATTGATGTACAATAAAATGCAATAAGAGCTTTCCATAATACTTCTTCCAGTTATATTGCAGATGCTTGCCTTTTACGTAAAACTACTTCTAGCAAGGTCTATTTCTTTACTTCAGAAATATTTCAACTGTTGCCTTGTCAGAATAATTCTGACACATTAATAAGGAGCAACTCTATTTGTTCAGATATTCTCTATGACCTTGGTATATATCAACACCAAATTGTGTGAGAAACCACAAGAAAAAAAGAGGATAAGAATCCATGGTCAATTCATACCAGAATGAATTTGTTATGGGCATATAAACTTATAAACCAATAAACTAAATAAAGATAAAAATAATATAAGCATATATTCTATTTATGCATTTATTTATATTCATAATACTCTCCAAATGCCAAAACGGTGAGTATATCCATTCCTTCTCAAAGAATCCTTTGATATGCTGTTACCATTCCTACCTAACAGATGAAGAGAGTTAAGTGCCCTGCTCAAGATCACCCAAGCAAAAAGTGACAGATCCAGGATTTGTATTCAGAGAGCCTGGTCCAGATCCTAGGCTCTCAAACACCAACACCAGTAGCCAACATATGCATAACACTTATTTTAAGTCAGGCACAAGTGCTTTGTTGTTTTGAAACTCAATCCTCACGTTGACTTTATTAGGTAGATTCTATAATAGAGCTACCCACCCCCAGGGATCGAACTCAGGATATTCTGCTTGTGAGGCAGGCAGTGGTACCACTGAGCTAAATCCCCAGCCCAATCAAGCTAATTTTTATTGGTGAGATGAATGAAGCATTCAGAGGTCAAGTAGCATTTTCAGGGTCATGGACCTGTAAAATAGCAAAATGGAGTGGGGGCCAGAGATTGAGTTTTAGCCATAATGCTATCCTCTCCGCACAATACCATCCTGAGCAGCATGGCACTTAATGCCTCTGCCATAGGTCTGCTTGAGCAACATTTTGCTGATTTTGAATTTCAGCACTTTTTCTTTATCTTCCTTATTAAAACTATGAAAGGCCATTAAATAAAGGAACTTTCTGTAGGTATTCCAATATATTTACCTCTGATTTTCTTTGGTGGATGCCAGCTGGCAGCTGGGAGAAAGAACTACATAGGTGAAGTAGGCTTAGGGCGATGGAAACGTTACCAGACAGAAAGATTTAGAAACTACCCCTCATTTATAAGTTCCAGATGGTTTCTTGGCAATAAGTGCATAGTTTTTCCTGAGCTACCACTTAGGCTGATATGTCAAATATTTCTAAATAAGTCTGATGATCAGGTGTGTAGACAATTTTGCTGTAATAGCTGAAAGCTTGGAAATCTAAAGGACAAATTAAAAAATAAAAGTGATCTTAAAGAACCCTTGGTATAAAGAGGTCACTTAGTACCAGAATCCATAGAAAGCTGAGATGTTGAGATAGAGCCAACTGTTTGCATAAACCTGGTCTCCACAGCCATAGGAGGCAGAAAAGAGATCTAGGTGACAAATTAGACTGAATATCTACATCCCTGTGTGTTTGGGAAATGCCAGTTCATCTTACTATTTGCCTGGAAATAGCCAATAAGGTATAACTCCTTGTGTGACCATACAGAAGTGAACTAGGATTTCCATCTCTGTCATTTGGGAGTAAATTGCAGATTAGACCAAAGGTTGAAGACACAGATAAAATTAGTGGTTTTTCATGGTTTTAGTAAAGAAAAAAAAATGAAATTCAAACTCAATAGGCAGCTTCTATTTAAATTTATGTGTGTGTGTGTGTGTGTGTGTGTGTGTGTGTGTGTCTATGAATAGTTTTCCTCCCAGGATATTTCTCCTCTTTCTAGAAACTTTGCAGCATTCCTTCTCTGAAGTTGTGGAATTCAGGTCATGTCTGCACTCGTTAATAAAAGGCTCATCAGGCACCTACTATGTGCCAAATGCTTTTAAAATGCTATCACATTTATCATTCCCTAAATCCCCAAGGATCAATAACATAATTCTTACTTTATGGCAAGGAAACTAAAGGTTAGCAAGGTTAAGTGACTTTCCCAGGGAGTGAAGTGTCAGAACTAATAGGGCTGGAAACTCAAGTCTGCTGGATTCCCAAGTCCTGAGCCTGCTTTCTCTCTAGGAGAGAAAGGCTTTGAAAGGTGCCTTGCCTATGAGTCCATGAAACTGGGGCTACAGTGATGCCACTGGAGAGTCTATGGCAGGCAAGTAACCACAGCTATCACCTTGTAAAAGCAGTGCTGCTCTGGAAATACATCCTAAGGATACATTTGCACATGGGCTCCAGGATGTTCAAAACTGGTTGAAATGGGAAAAATACATAAAATCATAGCAGTAGAATAATATGTAAGTAAACTATGATTCTTCTTTAACATGGAATATTGGCAGCTGTGAAAGAGAATCAGATAGTGACACATGTACTGATAGGAGAAGACATGTTTAACTTATACTTAATGGTTAAAGTGAGTTTCAAGATAGTATGTATGGTATGATCCTATCTACCTGTTTTAAATGTGTGTGTGTGTGTGTGTGTGTGTGTGTGTGTGTGGGTGTGTGTGTTGGAAAGTCCCAGGAAATGAACCAGAGGAAGACATTTGCATTCCTGAAATGGACATAAAACTCTAGAAAAAATGGGTGTGGGGAAAGGGACAGGAGAATAAAGGACAGCTTTCAGATTTTGTTCTATAAGTTTGTATAAATGTTTGACTCTTTCATAATGAGAAAGGACTCGATACTTATGTAATTATAAAAGAAAAGAAGCGAACATTTTAACAACTACAGCCATCTGGAAAAAGTGTGTTCATGTTTTTATAAACTTCAAAAATACAATAGTGTGCAAACTAATTTTTTTAAAAAAAACTTTGAGCCTCTTTTCCCTGCAACCTTTAGCAACTTTCTGTAAGTAACACATTTTCCAAAATGGAGAGTTCATAATTATTTCACTGAGGATCTTTCTTCTATTCTGTGATGCATTGTAAGGAAAGAATATCACCAAATAATAACAAAATTCAGCAACTTAAGGTCAGCAAAGTACACTTTTGGTAAAATCACCTTGAAAAATCTTAGTGAGGTAGGGACAAGTGTAGAACTCAAAAGACTCCAATAA